GCGGATTTTATATTGTTTTATAAATGTTAAATTACACAATACTGAATATAATTTTAAATAGAAATGAGAAATGAAATAGCATACAGCCACAACGTAAGATGTCATTCGCAAAAGTTATATATTTAAAAAAGAGAATAGTATTTTCACGATAGAATTTTTTCACATTGCTTGACCGTTTGTGAATAATTTTATCACATATATTAAATAATCGTTAATAATAAGCATTTGTACGGATCAAGATAACTATATTCATTTATTTAATAAAACATGAATCAATAATTACATTAGATTATTACAACAAATAAATTAACTCTGTGAATATAAAAATAATTAAAAGTTTATAGATTTAGAAAATTTCTCAAACGAGGATCTATGAAGTTTCTATTAATATATAAAAATAATGACAGTTTCAGTAGCACTTTCTAACAATTACAAATTTTTATATTTTAAATATAAAAAGATACACCGAAAAAATTGTATTCTTGAAAGATGTACTTAATATTTCCTCTTAACAGATATAAGAATATTTCCTCTTAAATTAAAAATATATTTTTGATTTGCGAATGGGATCGTTGCTATCACGCGCATTTCACGCGGTTTTCCATGATGCTCACATGCATTTGTTTTCACGCTCAGTCTGGATATTCACGGTGGCGTCCACGCGGACGAAATTTTCACGTAGGCACGTGTTTGCACGTGTTTGTATCGTTCAGGAGATATTTGAGGTTATCGTTTAAAATGGGACACCCTGTATTCTCATTTTAAGAATATACTAATTTTTAGATGATTATCCTCTTAAATTAAGAGGATCATCTCAGCGCTTATTTTAGAGGAAAACATACTATACGTAAGTGGGATATTCTTAAGTTAAGAATACAATTTTTTCATAGCAAAACACTTGGAGAAAAAGTGTCGTGCTCCTTTCTATATGTATTTAAAGTATATAAAAGTTGATAATTGTTGAAATTTTGTTTTCAAATTAGATATACAGTTCGTACTCGAGTAGTAATGGAAACTTTTATCAAAATTTTAATATTTATCGTTTTCTTGTACTTTAGAGATAGAAGCTACATAGACTCGCAAAGTTAGTATATCATATTTTCATTTTTGAGTTTTTTGATGTTAAAAACGTAAAACTTTTTTATTTTTGTAAGGAACTGTAGAATTATGAGAAGTGCTACTGAAAAAGAGTGATTATCTTTTTCATATTATATTATTATAATAGAATGTTATGCTAACTTTACAGGTCCAATCTAAGCCGGCTCAATAAAATTAGCACGACATCTATTAACATTAAAAAATAATGACAGTTTTATAATAGCATTTTTCATAGTTCTACATTATAAAAAAAAGTTCCGTTTTTGTTATACCAAAAACTTAAAAATAAAAATATGATGTGTAGCAATTAATAAATTTAGAATATTCTTAAAATAATTAGACTATATTATTAGTAATTAGCTAAAACTGAAAATCCTACAAAATAGCAAATAGTAGGAAAGCATAGCAAGCAATTATGAAGAGAAAAGGAAATCACAATCAATAAACAAAATAAAGACTTACAATCTAGGTTTACGTAACAATTGCTTCTTTTTCTAAATCGGTACTTATTATCGTTAACGCCGCTTTTTAGTGGCTTCGCATTAGTTACGCATAAACTACAACCTCTCCAATTATATTTGCTTAATTACGTCACTGTTTTTATTGAGGATGCGGATGTTAAACTTATACTTTCAATTACACTACAATATAAATAGTACCTAACATTAGGACAATCGTTTTATTCTTTGCAAAAGACTGTTCTCTTAAATATATAAATTCCAGTTAATTAGAAGTTTCGATTGATGAAAGAATCATCGTAAATCGTACAGTGATATATAGGTATTGCGAAGTTTACTGACTCTCATCAAGTTATGATCGCGCAATATTTTTTTCACGCGAGGCGTGCGCAATAATAAAGCGTCATCTCCGGCTGTGTCGCAAATAGTGTTGCTAGGACAATGTTGAGAATATGACGATGTCACACGCGAGAAAATAAAGTTCTTCCACTGGTATCATCTCCGTTGTTGCTGCGGATGAAGTGTCATTGGAAAATGGGACCATCTAGTCGACAAATTAATACTTAATAATAAGTAACATGTGCATTCTCTTATGGAAGGTGGAAATATCAAGGCAGACATATATATATAATTATTTATACAAAAGGAATGCTTATTTCATATTAAAGCATTTCTTGCTAGTGTTTTAATATATTTTTGATAAAATTATGTACGTGATGTTTTTACGGTGTGTGTCGGAAAAACATTAATGTACATGATTTTATAAAAAAAATATATATATATTAAAATACTATATATATAACATTCCTTTAATTTATTCATAACTCAAAAAATTAACAATATTAAATCAAAAATAAAGTAGGAACCGATGACTTTTCTTTATATAATTAATATAAATAAAAAAATTATTAACTGAATGAATTTCTATCAAAGTGTAGACAATGAATCTATTAATAATTAATACATGATATTTTATTTAAAATGCATAATATATAATTCTTGGATCCAGCAACTCGCAGCGGTATTGTCGAAAGTAACAGTTTGAACTATTACTCAAGAATCGCATTACGTACGAAACACGGAGCCTGCGTACCTTTCGTCACCCGGATTTGATTGTTCTATTATGCAGAAAGCGCTCGTGGTTCGTCGCTAGAAAGTAAAGTAAGTCATGCGTATTTAAGGAAGACCGATTGCCGTGTCATCGTGCAACGTTTCCTCGCTGAGTTCAATGCAGATCTATTCTACGAAAATAAATGTAGCAAACGAAACCAAGTGTGAAAATGTATGGACTATTAGCAATTGACATTTTCATGCTCAGTCTAACTTGAAAGCACCGATGCGTGCCGGAGGAAATTTTATAATCTATTGTTGCTTAGAACATATTTTTTTACACTTCCGTATGATGAATATTATGTCAATTACTTTCAATTGTTCCTGCTAATTCTACAAATTTTACAATCAGAATAATTTCTTTATTATATGTTTAATGAGCAATAACATAAAAATACATACAAATTTTATATCGAGTAATATATCGTATTTCCTGTATTAATCAAATAATAATAATATTTATTTAAATATGAATAAAATATAATATTTTTATTTTTCTACATTATTCAATATAAATAATATCGTAGTAATTTGATTCATCGTTTTATTAATAAGTCAAACTTTAGTCAAACTTCTTTTATAAATTTCAGTTTGTTTTAAAATTATATTATTATTACTATATTTTTTAATAATATTCGTTAAAAAATTTCTCTTTTCTTTATATATATCAAAGGTGCTGTATCTCTCTTTTACGATCAAAACGGAAAGTGGTCAAGGCCCGTGATTCCTAATCGCGATACGCGGCACGATAAATTACGAGAATCCCGCGGAATCACACCAACAAATTGCTGGTTGGTGCCTCATTACATTGCGGCGAGCTGTAATTGGCGTGGTGAAATACCGTCGACAGACCGTGATTTAACAAGTCCATTGAGCTAGTTCCCTTCGATGCGATCCGAAAATCGGATAGCCTCCGTAGCGAACGAGCGAACTCAATAACAAGACGGTGCTTCGAAAGAAGAACAAAATATATATGAAAAGATCGAGCAGTCGCCGCTAGAATAAATATGCAGCGTATTCACAGAACTGTAATCAGAAATGCGTTGTGGGTGATTTTCTTGATGCAGTCGTTGCTTGATCGTATTACGTAAATATCGTATATCTCATTAAAAATGATTACTTCTAGTATAATTTACTCATAACGTTAACTGTCCGTGGTCAGTGCGCTCTCGAGATTTGTAGCGGACGATAAAAAAGACGAGAATGTCGGAAGTGGTGCCATGTGTCTCAGAGACACCGATTGACAAGTAGAGCCAAGGGAATTATGAGGGTCTTAACTTTATACACGCTCTGCGCGCAAAGATCTCTGGAGACGCACTAAACCCTCGGTAAACGTCGACTTGTCATCGACGTAATTGACTTTCTCTTGTGTCGAGGATAAAAAAAAACGGTAAGATCACCCATCGGTAAAGTACAAACTAATTAAGGAAGTCCGCGATGTCCGCGAATTAATTAATAATAGCCCGACTAGACGCTCAACCGGAACTATGCGAAATCTTTTTCTTATGTTTTACATACATATTTTTAAATAAGCTTCACTTATACGCGACCAATAATAATCTACAGAAGGAACGTAAGCGTAATTTAAATGTTAATAAAAAGATTACGGTTATATATCATAAAAATTAATTAATATGATCAAATTTATTTTAAGAACAAAAATAATCGATTTTGCGGACAAAAAATAATTCCAATTTACGTTCCGTAGAAACTTATCCCTTTCGCATTACAATAATAAAACGTATCATTTTATAGGAGATTGCGAGAAACTGACTGTGTTTACAATATAGAAATAATTTTTAAAAAAGCACTGCAGTATAATTCAAATATTATTATAAAACGACTTATGTAAAAAAAATGCAGATGCTCCTTAATTTCATAAGAAATGAAAGCATATATTGTAAATACTCGATTTATATTGTATATACTCTACTATAAGGTATCTTTCTGCAACTGCCGATATAATAAATCGATATGGCATTCTCAAGGTGTTCCACGAAGCTTCTTGGAAATCGCGATTGAATATGCAACCACTGCTGTGTGCGGGCGATGATCTATTCACGCTAGCTATTTATCGAGGATGATCATTAATAGATGCAATTAATAAATCGTACATTTTATCGAGTTTCACGATATCGACTGTCGAAGTTGCTCCTACATATTATATTTCATAACTGCGTGTTCTTTTCTCGAGAAGTATCTCGCTCTTTGCCCACGGTGCATAACTGGGTCGTAAATATCGGTACCCGCAATTTAACCATGTTGCGCATATGTCGCACATAATCCTACCAGTACGATGCAATCTTTCTCACAAAGACCTGTTCTTTGTTTCAGATGGAGCACCGGTTCCCGAAGACACAGTTGTACACGAGGTAAGAAAAATTTTCGCAGAATAATAAAGAAACAGCCTCTCTTCCTCTTCCTCGTATACTTATAATTGTATTACCGTAATATCGAACGTAATACAATTCGTGTGTATTCCCGATTATTGCATTTGCAGTCTGCAAAGCCGAGTTTTAAAACTAGGGGGGCTAACTTCACGTGCGTATATCATTTTTTAAATATTTCCGGTTATGATTTCGACTACCAATCGTCGGGAATGGACTACCAAACCTCAGTAAGCGACTACCAAACGAATGCTTACAGCCATTATTGCATTTGCAGTCTGCAAAGCCGAGTTTTAAAAATGGGGGGGCTAACTTTACACGCATATATCCTTTTTTTGACATTTCTCATTATATCTTTGACTACCAAACGTCCGGAATGGACTACCAAACACCACCAAACGACCACCAAACGAATGGTCATGGTCATTTTTAGATTTGCAATAGGGGGGGGGGGGGCCAACTTCACATAGCCGAGGTTTCGTTTGCTCATCGTTTGCTCACGACCTGTTCTCATCGGTTTTCCCTCTAGTATATTAATTTTTCAATCTTATTTATTTCTATACTTTCTTAACCTTTTTAAACAAGAAGGAAAAGTGTTGAACTTTAATCGAGAATTAAAAGAGGCATTATAAAATTATTAGCTTATATTTTACAATCGATCAGCCGATCAACATTACATTCATTTGTCGCATATCACATATGTGCTTCGATAATGCAGCTTAAGTTTCTTCATAGTACGATGACTCATGCTGCATTAAGAATAACGGATCGTCTATCCGATCTATTGTATAGCTTGCGGCTGCTTGTGTACTGATTGTCCCTAATTCACATATAATTCATACCAACCGAGAGTAGAGACGCTATACTGCTAATTGGATAGCGCATGCACATCGACGAGATAATACAATAATTTACAGGTGTATCGCGCGCGTGCATTTTGCCTATATAATATAAGAACGCGTTGCGAGACTAATTTGCGTTCTGTAATCGCGTAATAATAGAGTGTCCTTTCTTTCCTCTCTCCCTTTTTCTTCTCAATCTACGTATCTCGATCGTTGTAGAAAATATTAAACCTCTCGTGCGTGCTGCCTCAAATCCCGTTGAAATATTACACATTCAAATGTTGAGATAAAATGACGAAAGAAATAATACGTTTAGGTGGCCAAGCAGGCAGCTATAAGAACTTTCTGATCAAACACGTGCTATTTTATCAATAAAACTTTAATTCCTAAGTTCGTAATCATTTTACTCAGAGTATCTGTCAAATGTGCAAATAGCGAAACTAATTACATTCTATAATCATGATCAACAATTTTAATATGTCTTTTTGTTTTATAATTTTCTTATTATCGTTAATCGAGCATGTCCGATATGTTTGTCTCGAGGTTGAAGGATTAAATTTATAATTTTTTATTTGAACAATATTACCCAATAATGCTACATGAATACACGATATATCAACGACTATATATTCAAATATAGTCTTTTTATCCATTTTTATTTAAATGCCACGACACATATTTATGTTGTGTTTTTTTTGGACATAATGTGATCTATAATTTAAAAAACTAATAAACATGCAAATCGTCGAACATTCGGATCTATATCGAAAGCAAAAATAAAAATTGAAATGCTTTTACTGTAACGTTAATTTTGCAAATCATTCAAATGATTAACTAATTAAATTGTTTTCTTTCTGATCATATAATTATAATTCGTTTCTTTGTCATTCAATTTTTTGTACTAAAAATAATGTGCAATATTACTTTTACGTTTCCTGTTTCTGATAATAAATTTTTATTTATATTTATTATTTTAAACTTAAACGATTACAATTTGAACTTGAGACAGGATTTACGAAATAATGAATCTAATTAAGTGAAGAATTCTTATTTGCGTATTCTATATTGATTATTACTTTTCATATTTTTATATTTTAGCATTTCATCAAACTATGCGATATAATTTTCAAAGATCTTATTGAAAATAAATTCTTATATTACAAATAATTTATTTTTTAATTAAAATTAATAATTACTGCTCTTATTAATTCGTTATTATTAATAATATAGAAATTTTTATTGCCAATAAAGTTAATAAACATTTGAATTGAAAAATGTAATTAAATTAAATTAAATTTTCGTACAATACGAAATATTTATATAATTTCTCACAATGTATGATGTCGCAAAGGTAGTCTTTCAATTTGTCTTGCTATCAAGATGATAGTGCCACCTAATTACATTAATTGAAGAAGGTTTATAATTATATCAGGATGATTAACTGCGACACGTTATTTCGTTCCTGATACGATCAAAACGTCATGCACAGTATCTCGCTTGCCAAGTCTATCGCTCATTTCTCATTGCAAACTACGATGAGGCATCCATCATACTTTCGTTTGCCGGTGCATGTTAAATTTATTGTCTACAAGTTCATGTAACATTCAGAATGGCCATAGACTCTTATACGATCCTTTCCTATTAAAACATTTTTCGCGCGGATCATTGATTTATAATCACTTTACTGCAAAATCTTACTTATTCGCTATACTTACTATATTTAAGCAGTAGGTATTATGGAACGCTTATGCCAATATTAAAAAATCACAAAAATATAAATATAAATATAAAACAATTAAACATTTTGACGCTTTTGGATAATTTTTAATAATTATAAAAAGGCTAATTGTTTAACGCCGAATATATATTATAAATCATACATAAAGGATGTCTTGCTAGAAACAATTGCTTGTCGTTGTTTGATTAAAAAATTGATCAGCATCTTTTTTTAACGAATTTTGAGTTGACGTGTACAAGAAGCAAATCTTAAGACATAAGCACATTCATTCGCGATATTGCGTTTATAGAGACAACTCCAATACGCGGCAGTGAGGTATTATAACATCGAGAAGGCAGACACAGTCATGTCGGAGTGCTGACCTGACATATTCATAACAATGCGCTAGGCGTGTCACCGACGTGTTGCAACTTGCAACTGATTTCAACGACCGTCTATGCGTTTTGTTCGCGTTACCCTCGGTCGCGAAGCGTAAGCATACGCGTGTACCGTACATAATCGAAACGCACTATTGTGTGGAACGGTACGTGTAAACACAATACTAACGCACGAATCATGACGTACTTATGGTAACTGGTCTTGCACAGGCGGTCGCTGGCACGAAGATGCCTTAAATGTCAAGGCGAGGACACGGTGGACTGCTCGAATGCACAGACCGTCTCTCTTTGGCCTGCACGCTCGGCTGATGCACTCCGCGAAAGGGAACCTCGCATTCATTGAAACCTTTCCTGTCAGGCTTGAATAATGTCTAATCACTGCAGCCACCACTGTATTATACTACGAAATAATTCCGAGAATGTTGTAGAAAGTTGTAGTTCCGGTATACAGTGGTTATACAAGAAGAACAATTATTCACAGCATCTAAACATTTCATAGAAGCTGATCTGAAAAATCATTATGTTGTCATCAAAATAATTATGTTTAAATACAAGTATAATGAATTTTAAATTTAAAAATTTTAATTAAAAAAAAAGAAATTTAATATAACGCGCAAGAAAAATTAATATTTTATAATAAACAGTTTAAGTATCTATACATAATTATTTTTATAGTTTAACAAAATTATTTTTAGATTTGTATCTAGCTAAATTTTTAGATATTTTAATAAAATCATTCATTCCATGTATTTATTCAGTTTTTTAAGTACATTTTCTCGAATCAAGAGATTGGTTTGGAAACGCAATAGAAAAATGCTGTATTCAATGTTGTATAAGAATAATGAAAAAAATTTTATTTTTTAGAATTTTGTTTAATTTCTGTTAACGCGTAATTCGCCATTTTCATTGAATTAATGTTAAAAGTATCATTCGTATAAAAATGTCACTTATATAATAGAAGATTTAATTTTCTTCTGTCATATCCGTATCAGGAACGACTACTGATAATAAGTAATTCATGACGATTGATTTCAAATCAATTTCCTGATGTTAAAGTTGATCGATTGTTCCGCTCATTACACGGATCTTCGATGTACGTAACAAGACATTTGAAAGCGCGAGGAAAGTTCATGAATGACAAGCTATTGAATTTAGGAGAGTATACGTTTTCGTAAAACATTTTTCTGTTTGTGCGTTGATTACACAGAGACTTTCTCCCGATCGCATTGATGTTTATTATTTGAAAAGCGACGTTAATTTTCAGTGTAATTAAAGGGGAACTTTTTTTTCTTGATTTCAGGATTCCGTGGCGTCGGCGTCAGAGGTAGGCGAAGAATATGACGATTCCGACATGTACATGGAGCCGGACGAATCCGGAGCGACTTCACCACCAGATCGCACAGAGGAGAGCACGCAAAAAACTAATCAAAGCGAAACGTCAACCGATATTACCGACAAAAGTAACGAGAAATCATCTGAAGTTGAGAACCCTAAAGCTTCTAAGGATCAGGAGGCGAAAAACACGGATCATACTGCCACAGCACAGTTTGCTGATGCCGGCAGAAGTTTAGAAACCGAAAGTCAAAATTTCTTCCCGACCTTCGCGGAACTTTTTGGAAATCACAGACTCTCATTTGCGGAACAGCAGCAGCGTTATCGTCCTAACAGATTCCTAGGCTACTTCCAACGCGATCGTAATTATCAGACCGCCGCGACTAAGGATCAGCACTCGATACTAGGATCAGGTAACTTCGGCGTGATCCGCGGAGGTACTTATTATCCGGAGGACAAAGAGAACGACGAGTACGCGATAGACGAGAGCATTTACAATCCGTACTATCATAACCGTGCTCGTGCAAACTATTATAGAAACCCGAAACCGCAGCCAATTCGAGGCGGTGATTTCTTCGCAAACTTCCGTGATTTCGCCGACATTACGGCGCCGCCAAAGTCCAGTTTCTCGCATCTTTCCGTAGTGTACGCTAACAAGAACGGCAGTTCCACCGGACGCGTCACGGAACCGAGGAATATCATTGAGACTCTCAGGATGTTGGAAGAAGAGGAGCGATCTAACGCGGAGGAAGTGTCCACGGAAATGCCGAGGAAAAAGCAGAGCAAGGGCAAGCTGAAACTCATGAAGATGAAACAGTACGAAGAGGACAAAGCCCGAAGGTCTCGCATGTCCGTCGAGCCGCTGCTCGCTCTCAGCTGAGCGTAAAGAAAATGTCGCTAAAGTGTACGTTAATATATGGACGCAAACCTCGGGATTTCTCCCAAACGCGGAATTTGGCCTCGAGATCAGAACCAAAGTCTGAAAAAGCGTCGTTTTTCTATTATCGGAGGAGAATATGTACTGAAACGTGCGAACAGGAACGGAGATAGTTCGCATCTTTATTCATGTGCGGGCAATTACTGTGCGCGTATACGAATTTTTCGATCACAAGCCGAAAAGTCGGCGGCTGGAGAATCGTATTTTGAAATTAACGCGCGACACGTTGTCGGTTACGCGCGACACGTACAATTCCTATCATTGGAATTCCGACGACGCTCTCGATACGGAGATAAGCCAGTTTATTGTTTTAATCTTCCGGAGCTGACGCGAGTCTCTTGTACCCATTCAATAATATTTTTTATTACATCTGCAAATTTGAATTATTATTATGAGAAACTTAGTATGCTTTTCTTATATACAAGTTATATCATTTTTATTGGTTCCTTGAAATTAATTATAGTAACACAAGTTAAATGAATCTTACTGACCCAGCAACCGTATTACAGATTTTGGACAGATCTTGTCAACTCCGGAAGGTTAAATTCAATACTCTGTACAAAACTTCTACATCATTTTCCTGAGCGATGCGAAAATTTGGATTAAATATAAATAGATCTTAAGATAATAGCATTAAGAATATAAGGCACTGCCGTTCCTGTATATCGACCAATCGTTAGATCTAAAACGCACGTGGCCTTAACGTTTAAATTATTCCCTAAGCTAGTAACAGCACGAGTTCGAAGGATCCTAAATGTAAGATTTTTCGGGTCTACAGTGTATCGATTAAGAAATTCCATGTGGTGCTATATATGTTCCGCCGGCCGTACAAACACCTTCTGGAGAAACTGTCCCGTTTCGGCAAGGCGCTTGCAAAGCTAACTGGCAACGATTATTCACAGAGACCTTTTACGTTGATTGAATTCACTTGTTCGTACGTGAACGTTACGCTCGAGTAAGTCGATTCCGGAATCGGTAACTCTTACCAACGACACTTGCGTTCGAGTTAAAATCACGAGTCTCGTGCGCGCGGCCTCCCTATCCTATAATTATGCGAAACGCGTCAACACATAGGATATACTTCGGAATATGGATGAGATCTGTTCTTCTTATAGCTACAATTTTTACATTTACATTCGTTGCTCTTCTTCCTTTGAAACGCATCATAATTTATGTTCTACATGTTAAAAGTGTGAAAATAAGAAACGAACAAACGTAGACCTGTGAAAAGACCATAGTTTTCAATCTAGATGTTAAAAGCGAAAAAATAAGGTACGAAAAGACGTAAACCTGCGAAAATACATGCGACAAAATTTTTACAGCGTCAAACTGATTTACAAAAAGCTTCTCGGTATTATTAGAAATAAATTACTTTACTCTTTGCTCTTCTATATTTTAATGTTTTAGCTAAAGCAGAAACGGGTTGCCATTGCATTTTTCTATAAAATGTTACACAAAATACGCGTGACTTTGCGTGCATCAGCAAAATTAATTTAATTGGCTATACTTTAAGAGTATATGAAAATCCACATATATATTTAGTAAACTAATAAAGACTGCTCATTTTGTATTCACTATTAATTATAAAAATACGTTAATTACTTTTCTCCATTCTGCTTAGGTTCAAAATTTATGATGAAATTGCGATTCGATAAGAAAATCTCTAAATGCATTTCTTGCTAATTGCAAAGATTATGGAATAAAGAGCACTGGAGTGGAGAGGTCGTGCCAGAATTCCAGAACGACTTTCACCCCAGATGAATTCACGGCGAATACTGCCATGTTATCTAACAAAAAATAAACAAAAACGACAATTCTAAATCGACGAAAGATTTTCGCCGCGAATCTCGATTTATTGTTGTTTCACTTGTTGTTGATTATTATAATATATTATTAAATCTATTGACTTACTTTAACGTATTCGAAGTGTGCACGCCTCATTTATTTTATTTGGAAAGGGCGTGATAAAAAAATTAAATAAAAAACATTTCTTTCTCTCAAAAATAACGTTCCTGTCCCATAATCCTACAAAAAGTTAATTCTAAAATAATTGGAATGTTTTGATCTCCAAAATTGATCTTTCCAAATCGCGATTTTAAACTAATCTATTGTATTTTGCGAAAAAAATTTATCTAACTAAAAGGAGTTATTTTTATCAATTTTTCTGTGTAAAAAATCATTCCTTTTTGAGAGGATTATTTTGAAGAAATTTTTTTTGCAAAATAAATTGAATTTTAATTATTCCGGAGATCGTACATTTCTAACGAAAAGACGTACATTTACAAGGTAAGTAACAATAATTTTAATATTTTTTTACAAATAACTAGCATGGATTTAATTAAAATTTTTGCTCTCACATATAAGTATAAAATACGTATAAACAAATATAAAACGGTAATAAATTATTATAACATGATATACATATGACTTCCAGAGACATTTGCAAACAAATTACTTATTAATGCACTTTTTTAACATTGTGACGAGTTTACCAATGCCATCATAAACATCTGAATAAGTAGCTCGTTCATACAGCCAAGCCGGTGTACTGAGAACGCCGTAATTTTTGTCCAACGTTACTCCTTTAACATCTTTCATTTCTATTTTAGCGCCCATAGCCTCAACCTTCTTGATAGCATCAGCATATGGCCAGTCTTTTTTAGGTGCTAAGAAATAATTTGCAAATATTATGAAACGAAGGATATTAACGATACGACAAACTGACTTACATTCCTTGCCAAGTGTAACTTTCACACCCTTCAACACTTTGGCAACAAGTGCACTAGCTATGCACATAGTACCGATCGGTTTCCTTTCGCAATAAAAATCTTCGATAAGTTTCTCCAAGTCGGGTAGAACAGTACAGTCAGTACCTTTTTCGGCAAAATTACTCCTTTATAAAATAGAATTAAACTTTATAGAAACAAATCAGACTATAATGTCAAGTACGGTCAAAGTTGGATGTTTCAAATATTATATTATTATGTATTTATTAAATAAATTTATTTCTTAGACTGCGCGCCAATATAACTTAATTTTGAACTTTCAATACAATATTAATCTGAAACACTAATATAATTTCTTAAGTTTTAAATTAAATAAAAAAAAATCTATAAAGAAAGTTATGTCTGATATAAATTTATTAATAAATACACAATAATGTAATATTTTAAATATCCAACTTTGATCATAATTGACTTTTATATTATAATTTGATTTATTCATATATACAAACGGTTTTATTTCTAAAAACTTTGTATTGTTTACAAAGATAATTACAAATTTGCTTATATTATTATAGTAGCTTATGTCGAAATATATCTACGATATGTATGCATATTTACTATTTTATTAAGGTACAAGAATGTCTTTTCATTTTGTAATATATAATATATATGCACGTATTATTAACTTAATCTTATTTTACTTTCTATTTCCACATCACACATACAAAGTGCGTGCAGCGCCAAATCCTCCAGGTATAATAAGGGCACCATGTGCACAAACTTCGCACTCGCATAGAGGTTTTATGCATGCTCTTGCTAATCTGGCACCTTCAACGAGAGCATTTCTAGAACTTTGAGTATCCATCTCTCTGGTAAGATGATTGACCACACCACGAAGCTCAATATCCGGAGCATAAAATAATGGCTTCATCTTTTTATGCCGTAAATGTATGGCTGTTGAAATAGCTTCTGAAATTTCGGTGCCGTCAAGTCTACCACATCCGCATAATATCTTGAAAGAGAGAAATGTATAAAAAATTATTAATTATTAGAGATCTAGTAATCACACTTTCCATATTTAAAATATAAGTATTTGTTAAAAAATTAAAATTGGGATATTTAAATATTTTTTAGCTGCATTATATATCTACAATAATATTAATCATAATAGAAAAGAAAATGTGATTGTGCCGATTCTGAAAAATTATAGATATAAAACTAAAAATTACAAGCGTAGAAAACTAAGGTTTAACGATACTGTAAAAAATATATGTGTACAAAAATCAAACGTAAATTCATAGAAATACATGATATTTCCTTTCACGCACGTAGGCAACAAGCGATGTAAAAAAAACGTTATAAATACACTTTTTACATTCGCGTTATAAAAATGTATTATCATTAGAAAAATTTAATAGCTCGAGATTAACGACTTCCGGTACATTTTCTTGCAATAATTTTTTTATAGAATAAAATTTAACCGTTTTCCACAGTAAGCACCAATGAAACTTTGCGTTACGTCATGCCGCGAAAGTATAGAATATACCGACATCACTTTTAACTCATATGCAGAATCATACAAGGAAAAAGTTTTTAATAGTCCTGACATAGTTATAAATCCCAAGCGAGCAACTATGTTTTAAATTCGCTTAAATTGGGTACTAAACGGGAATTACAACGATTATTACCTAATACCGAATATTTTTCCCCCTAAAATATTAAATAATTTTATATAATAACATTATGTATATTTTAAATTAGTTTATAACAAAAGTGTAATTTGTGTCTTATAGATAACTTTCACAAAAACGGACATATATAAGATAAACTAAATAAATCAATTCAGTAACTATTGAAATGCAAGATTATTTAAATAGAGAAATTATATATGACTTATATATAATAGTAATAATTTAGCGATTATCTTCGCATAAATTACATCTGTAACTTCAAGCAAATATTTTTATTTTGCTTTATGTGAAGGAACTAAAAAGGCATACTATTATTGTATAATATTATGGTACCTACTACGGCTACAGATATAGGTTCACAGCTTTTATTTCGTTTCGATTTATTTTTTCCTGCTAAAATTGGTGACGTATGAAGGTTATTGAAAAAGGCATATGTAAACGAGGTATCACGTCGCAACAGAGACACCGTTCGAGACACAATTCGTGATCGCAACATTTTTTCTATGCAAAAAAATGCAAAAAATTTTTAATTTTATTAATTAAACATTAACGTATTTTTTTTTACGTTAGATCACGGAACATAAACAATTTTGATAAATAATTTTTCCCAAAAATGCTCGTGATTCGAGATTGCGATTGTAACTTGTTTCCAACAACTTTTCTACAGAAAGTAATCTTCCATTCATCCATGGTAGAAAAAACTCGAGCGTACTTTTGTAACAGCTACATTATTTTTAACAGCTAATGACAACGTAATACCATATGCCGCCATGTTGCCGCTTATAGTTATGTCATTATGTTACTCATTTTTGTGTTTTTAATTATATTTGCTTATAATATATCATATAATAAACGTGGTTTTATTTATTGCCATAATAAAAATTGATTTTTCACAAGCTTCTTTCTACTTAATATTAATGTTTTCTCTTTTGGGAGTAATAAAAATATTTCTATATATGCATATTTTTGAATTCCTCACAATGATTATTTTTACATATATTTGTTTGGCAAGTACTCATTTTCGTTAAGTTGTCATTAAAAAAAAAATTACAGTAATACAAAATTTAAGTAGCCTTATTTGGAATATGTACAAAATTGTACGAAACTTAAAAGTTTCTTCTACCATGGAATCTTCTTTGTTAACCGTGTTTTGCGGTGA